ACCGGTAATGGGATTGCAACCCTTGGTGTTGCGCCCGCACCGCGCTCAGCCAGTGAGCAGGAACCGGTCTCCACATGGGATCCGAACCCTCGGCGGGAGCGCCGCCGCACTCCCAAGCAGTGCACTCAGCCCACCAATACCCCACTTTTAATAACAGATAGGACAACCAGACAGAGGATCAATAAGGAAAAAGAGGACTTGAACAAAACTATAGGCAACTGGATCTAACAGACAGATACAGAGCACTCCACCCGTGAGCAGCACACATTCTTCTTCAGTGCATATGAAATATTCTCTAGGTTAGACCACATGTTAGGCATAAAACAAGTTCTTAAAACTTCAGGAAGACTGAAATCATACAAAGTATCTTTTCCACTCACAATGGAATGCAACTAGAAATCAATAACAATGAAAATCCAGATATGTGCAAATTAAACAAGACACTCAAACAACCAATGGGTAAAGGAAGTCACAAGGGAAATTATAAAATATGCTGAGACTAAGTGAAATCACAACATATTTAGGAAATGCAGCAAAAGCAGTGCTAAGAGGGAAGTTTGTAGTTATAAATACTTACATTAAAAAAGAAGAAATCTGTTGAATCAATAACCTACCTTGCTTTACATGTCAAGAAACTAGGGGAGAAAAGAGCAAACTAAACCCAAAGCTAGCAGAAGGAAGGAAATAATAAAGATCAAAACAGAGATAAGTGAAATAGAGAATAGAAAAACAATAGGAAAAAGTCAACAAAACTAAGAGTTGACTTTTTTAAAAGATCAGTAAAATTGACGAATCTTTGGCTAGGTTAACAAAGAAAAAAGAGAAGAATTAAATAACTAAAATCAAATATGAAAGAGGGGACATTACAACTGATGCCACAGAAATTCAATAAATTATAAGAGAATACTTTCAGCAATTGTATGCTAATAAATTGAATAACCTACAAGAAATGGGTAAATTTCTGGAAACACAAAACCTACAAAGACTGAATCATGGAGAAATAGAAAATCTGAAAGGATCAGTGAATAAGGAGATTGAATCAATAATCAAAAACTTCCCAACAAAGAAAATTCAGGACCAGATGGCTTCACTGGTGAACTCTACCAAACATTTAAAGAAAAGTTAGTACCAATCTTCTTGAAACTCTCCCAAAAACATTGAAGAGGAGGGAACCCTTCCAAGAACATTCAATGAGGCCAGAATTATCCTGATACCAAAGCCATACAAAGACACTACAAAGAAAGAACACTACAGGCCAATATCCCTGATGAATATTGATACAAAAGCCCTCAGCAAAATACTAGGAAACCAAATTCAACAGCATATTAGGGTTATATACATGAGTAAGTGGGATTTATTCCTGAAATGGGACCTTGGTTCAACATACAAAAGTCAGTCAAGGTAATACACCACATTAACAGACTGAAGGACACAAACACATGATCATCTCAACTGATGCAGAAGAAGCACTTGGCAGGATTCAACACCCTTTCATGGTAAAAACACTCAACAAACTAGGGTAGAAGNTACAAAAGCCCTCAGCAAAATACTAGGAAACCAAATTCAACAGCATATTAGGGTTATATACCATGAGTAAGTGGGATTTATTCCTGAAATGGGACCTTGGTTCAACATACAAAAGTCAGTCAAGGTAATACACCACATTAACAGAATGAAGGACACAAACACATGATCATCTCAACTGATGCAGAAGAAGCACTTGGCAGGATTCAACACCCTTTCATGGTAAAAACACTCAACAAACTAGGGTAGAAGGAAACTGCCTCAACATAGTAAAGGCCATACTATATATGAAACGCCCACAGCTAACATCATACTCAATGGTGAAAGACTAAAAGCTTTTATTCTAAGATTGGGAACCAGACAAGGTGCCCACTTGCCACTTCTATTTAATACAGTCGTCCCTCAGTATCTGTGGGGGATTGGTTTTGCAACCCTCCCCCCATACCAAAATCCATGGATGTTGAAGTTCTTGATATAGAATGGCTTAATTACACACGTCCTCCCACATACTTTAAATCATCTCTAGATGCATCTCTCAATGCAATGTAAATGCTATGTAAGTTACTGTTATACTGTATTTTAAAATTTGTATTAGGGCCGAGCCCGTGGCGCACTCGGGAGAGTGCGGTGCTGGGAGCGCAGCAGCACTCCCGCCGCAGGTTCGGATCCTATATAGGGATGACCGGTGCGCTCACAGCGCTCACTGGCTGAGCGCGGTGCGGTTGGTCTCAAAAAAGGACTAAATAAATAAATAAAAAATAAGTAAAATTTGTATTAAATTTATTTTATTTTTATCATAGTGTTATTATTTTTTTTCCTTTTTTTGTCTTTTTCCGTGTCCGGCAATGGATCGCAAACCTCAGCGTCGCCCCCGTACCGGACCGGGACCAGCAATGGGATCGCAACCTTCGGCGTTGCTCCCGTGCCTCGCTCAGCCAGTGAGCGGGAACCGGTCTGTATGTGGGATCCGAACCCTCGGCGGGAGCACCACCGCACTTCCCAAGCGGCGCAGTATAGCAGTGTGCCACCGGGCCGGCCCATCATAGTGTTATTTTTTATTGTCTTTTTTTCTAAATATTTTCCATCCACGGTTGAGTCTGTGGATGTGGAACCCTCAAAAATGAAGGGCTGAGGGCTGGTTGGTTTGCTCAGTTGGTTAGAGCTTGGTGTTATAATACCAAGGTGAAGAGTTCAGATCCCCATACTGGCCAGCCACAAAAAATAAAAATAAAATAAAATAAAATAAAGAAAAGAAAAGAAATAAAGAAAGAAAGAAAATGAAGGGTTGACTGTATAGTACTGAAAATCCTAGACAAGCAATTAGGTAAGAAAAAGAAAAAAAGGTACTCAAATTGGAAATGAATAAGTAAAATGAACTCTGTGGATAACATGATCATATATGCAGAAAACCCTAAAGATTCCACAAAAATAACTGTTAGAACTGATGAACCAATTCAGCAAAGCTGCAGGATACAAAATGAACACTTAAAAATCAGTTGGTCCTGAGAGCACGACTTCAGACCCCAACAATTCTGTGCAGTGACTTAGGAAAGTGACTTGTAAGGAAATGTTCTTGCCTTGGGTTTGTGTTTTTCAGGTTAATATACAATCTAGGGTTGTCTTGCTCACCTGTTCACTTACTGACTCAGTACGGAGTCCTTACTACCCACACCCAGGGGGAGAGGAAGCGAGATCCCTGCTTCAAGGAGCTTCTCGTTAGTGAGGAAGTTGCACAAGGCAACAAGAGGGCGGATGGCACCCGAGGGTGGGGCTGGTCAGCTGGGATCTTACAGGCAGCTTTCCTGCAGGGTCCTGGGCAGGTGGCACAGATTTGGATCCCTAGCAGAGAAGGGGGGCAAGGACTTCCACGTGGGGGGACCTGCTTGAGGCTGGGGATGGGACAAGCTGGGGAGGTGTCAGCACCAGCTGGAAGCCTTCAGGTCAGGCCTCAGAGTGCAGGAACCGAGACTGTGGGTGACGGTCTCTGACAGCAGTGTGGTTGGGGGGGCGGGACAGAGCTGTGGGAACAGAGGGGAGGACACAGTTATCGAGGACTGGAGGGACTGAGGGTGTCCAGCTGCAGATCCAGGAGGGGACAGGAGTCCAGGGAGGGGCAAGGAGACCTCCCAGTTTCTGGTGAGCAAAGTGGGGAGTCCAGGGGGGCCTTTGCAGTGATGGGCCTGGAGGAGAGCCAGGGAGAAAGTGAACATCTCCATCCCAGCCACGTAATTCGGCCCCTCTGTGCCTCGATTTCTCTATTTGTAGAATAGACTCCCAGGCTACCCCATGCACAACTTTAAAAGGACACATAAACTAGCAGAGCCCCCAACAACACTCTCCGTTCCTCGCCCCCCTGAGGACTAAGGACAGAAAGTCAAAGTGCTAAAGGTTTGAGTCTAATTGAGCATCAGTTATTTCACTTAACCCTGAAAGACACCCCCTTTTAAAAGCATAAAGGCCGTGGGCCGCCTGGTTAGCTCGGTTGGTTAGAGCACAGCCTTATAACAGCAAGGTCGGATCCCCATACTGACCAGCCAGCAAGAAAAAAAAGAAAAGAGGATAAAAGCATAAAGGCTGTCATAGGAGGGGTGGGGATTTGGCCCAGGAGAGAACTCCTCTCTGGAAAGGGGCCCAAACCCCTGTGCATCAAGAGATGCTGGACCAACCCTGCCTGTCCCCCTACACAGCTCCCAGTATGGTGTCCGTGCAGTCCCCATGTGAGTGGCAGCTTCACACTTGACCCACGTGTTCTCTCCCACAACCTTAATCTTTCCTTAATGCCTTTTTATTATTTTGCAGCGTTCTTCTAGCTAATTCCTCATGGTGCGGAGCCCAGCTCGCCGACGTGAAGTGTTTGTACACCTGTGTCCCCCCCACCGCCAATTCAGGACCTCTCATTCTACCTTGGGGTGGAGAGATGAGGCACAGGGTCCCAAAGCTTCTGTGCAGTGCCTCGCCCCGAGGACAGGCCAATGTGTGACAGAGTTCTGATCAGGCACCCGTGATGGAGAAGACAAATAATCCCGTTCCCATCAGTCACAGAAGCATTGGAGTCTTTCTGTTACAGACACGAAGACTTGGGCCTTCTCCAAACTAGCCTCTGGCCCTGGGCACATCCCGGAACTAGAGACGGCCAGGCCTGGGGGCCTGCACTTTGCCCCAGCACCCAGGAGGCTGAGGATCAGTACTGGTGGGAGCACACTTGAGAGGCTCGGGTGGTGTGGCCCGCACCAACCGCATCTTTTATTGTCTGTATTCTGACGCTTTGACATCTAGGCCTTGCTGACCCTGGAGGGACCGCCCCTCCCAGGAAGGGCCAGTACCTACAGACAGTAAAGGAATCACCTATGATCACCCCTTTCAAATGCAAATCAACCAACCCAGAGCACACAGCCCACCACCTCCTCTGTGGGGCTCTCACATTCCAGACCTCTATTCCCCTGCCCCAATCACCCCAGGGCCAGGTACCAGACAACCAGGGAGAGCCCCTCTGCCCCAGAACCTGGTGCAATTATTCACACTAGCGATCCTAGGCCTGTTTAGCCAGCCTCACCCGCTCCTTCCTGCAGAAGCCACAATAAAGGCTCCAGCCCACGGGTCCCCCTCGCTCCCTCTGCCTCCGGACCGACACTGCTGCTTCCCTGGTAGCCCTCCCTGTGTGGCGTGCCCCCTCTTCTAGGGATCTGTGAGTAGCAAATATCTTTTCAATGGCAGTCGTGTCCTGATCTGTTGGCCTCGCCATACCTGAGTAATAATAAGACCTATATTAAAACGCGGCCCCAACCTTCTCTGTGAAGTTGGCTCACAGCGTCCGGGCACCAGGTTACCCTTCACCTGCCAAGCCCGTCTCCTGACACCAACCGCATTAGCAAACAGCACCCAGGAGACCTCAGGCCTGACAGAGTCCAACACCTCTGGGGACCCAGTCACTCGGCAGCCTCCCCATGCCGTGCTCCGGTTTCTCTAAGCCCAGGACCATCTGCCGTGTCTCTATCTCCCTGTCCCAGCTCTGAGCCCAGAGCCCAGTAAATGCTATAGAGAAGCAAACAGCTTTCTCTCAAGGCGAATTCACCGTGCTCTGCACACCACTCACCGGGGAATGATGTGTTCATGTCTTCACCCCACAGCGTGTCCCGCCACGTCCCGAAGATGGCAGAGCACCTGGCCTGCACCATGCCCCGTAAGCATGTTCCACATTCTCTGGGCCTCAGTTTCCGCATTAACAAAATGGGTGATACTCATGCTGCCTGCCTCGCAGGAGTTCTGTAAGGCTCACAGCAAGCAGAGGGCAGCTGTGGGCAGCATCACCAGTAGGGCTGACCATCATGCCATCCTGGGGCCAAGGATGTGCCCACTGTGCAGACATGGACACTGAGGCTCAGGATTGAGGTCACTGCCCCAGGTGTCAGGTGGGCCTGGCCCAGCCCTTCCTGGCAGACACCATTCCAGGAGCCTCCCCTTGTGAGCACGTGTCCCTCATTCACGAGGACAGAGCATGGTGGTGCCCACTGCAAACCTCCAACCCCTCCCAAGGAGAGCCCCAGCAGCCTGTGCCAGCAATGGAGGAAGGGGAGACCTACCTTGTCCTCTTCAGCCCTCAGGGAGGTGTTCTCAGAGTCCGGCTCTTTGTCCACGTCACTGTCAGCCTCTTCCTGAGGGGCATCCTTCGGGGCCTGGCTGTCCGGAGCTGTCTCAGGGTGCAGCCCCAGCATGGCGGGGCCCAGGCCAGCCTCACAGCCCTCTTCACAGGGGAAGTTCTCCCCAGCCACGCTGGAGGAAGGGCTGTCGATCCCACTGTCCCGGTTGGGGATCTTCATGTCACTGCTTGGCTCCCCCACAGGGCCAGTGTCCAGAGGTCCATGCCCTGAAGCAGCCAGGCTGCCAGGGTCCCCATGGGCACAGGGCCCAATGGGGAGCTCTTGGAGCTTCCCCAGAGAGGAGCTTCCAGGCACAGCATCTGCTGCCCCCACAGCAGCAACAGGTCCTGGAGGGGTTGAGGCCCCCCCACCTGACTCCATCCTCAAAGCCAAGCTCACCAGGCTCCTTCGCAGACTGGCCAGGCCCCTTCCTGTTGGGGAGAAACAAGCTGGCTCACTGCCAGCCAGATGTGGCTTAGCCCCTGAGTGCAGCCCACCTCCCCAATGCAGCCCCCAGGCAGCGCCCCTGGGAAAAGGTCAGCCTCGAGGAGGCAGGCTGCGGCTGCACGAGAAACAACACCCGGTCAGCTTCAGTTGGGTCCTGTCCACACAGGCTTTCAGGGAATGGCAAGTGGAAAATTCTTATTTTTAAATTGTTTCTTCATGTGAAAAAATAATAAGTAAGCTGTAGTGGGAAGTTATCTGCAGCTCAATAAATTCAAAATACAGGCACAAAATAATAACAATAACCAACAGGAGCACAGTGGCCTCTGTTTACTTTTGTTTCCACGGAGCTTTTCAATCCTATGATCCTCCCAGAGGTAAGGCCGGTGTCCCCATCACCTCTTCCTCCTCCTCCTCACAGTAAGTGCTGCCAGCTGGACAGGTGACAAAACAGCCCCTGGAGTGGGCCCTGACCACCACCTCTCCCTGAGGACACCACACCTCTCCTGGAATCCTGGGGGTAGGGAGGGAGGCAAATTCAAGGGTCAATTCTAAGTGCACAGGGAATTCACCGGCCTCTCTGAGGAGGGTCAAAGGTGAGACTGGACTAGAGTGAGACTGACATCCCCCAAAATTGTCCTCTTGAACCCACAATGAGCTACAGAGCAGCTAAGGGCCTTGAGGGACGGTCACTGATTGCATACCTGATGCCGTCGGCCTCTCTGCGGAGGGCGCTAAGGTTGGCGGGCAGGCGTCTGGCTTCCTGCTGGCGTCTGGGGTTGGCTGGCAGAGGCTAGACGGATTCGTTGAGAATCTCTTCTTGCCCAGCAGGTTTGTAGTAGAGCCGTTTAGGGGGTACTGAAAAAACATTATTGGAGAATGAAAACCACCTTCTCCTACTGGCTTTTGGAGGAGCTGGAGGCCCTGGTTCTAAAGGGAGGCGTGGAGAAGGGCAGCTCTGTGCCCCCACCCAGCGGCTTGAGAAGGGCAGAGCAGGAACCAGAGGCCATCCCACGTGGGTTGGCAGTGCCTTGGCTCGGACTGAAACTCAGGCCAGGATTGAACTTGACCCTGCCACTCAGTGCCTTGCGGCCAGGGAGAAAGGGTCACCTCGAACATGCAGGCGCCACTCAGTGTGAGCACAGCTGGTGGGCACCTCTCCAGTCCATACCCCAGACCCACCCCAGACACCCTCCCAGACACCCACACAGCAGCTCCCTTGCACACTTACCCCCCACAGTAGCTCCCGTGCACACTCACACCCACACAGCAGCTCCCTTGCACACACACACAGTAGCTCCCGTGCACACTCACACCCACACAGCAGCTCCCTTGCACACCCACACCCACACAGTAGCTCCCATGCACACTCACACCCACACAGCAGCTCCCTTGCACACACACACACACACAGTAGCTCCCGTGCACACTCACACACCCACACAGCAGCTCCCTTGCACACCCACACCCACACAGTAGCTCCCGTGCACACTCACACCCACACAGCAGCTCCCTTGCACACACACACCCACAGTAGCTCCCGTGCACACTCACACACACAAGCAGCTCCCTTGCACACACACACCCCCACAGTAGCTCCCGTGCACACTCACACACCCACACAGCAGCTCCCTTGCACACACACAGTAGCTCCCGTGCACACTCACACACACACACAGCAGCTCCCTTGCACACCCACACCCACACAGCAGCTCCTTCACACACACATTCACACACTGACTCACTGATACTCATATTCTGCCAGCGGCTTCTTCACACCTCCCTTCCTCACTTGCTAAGCAGAATGAAGAACACGCAGTGAAGAAGCAGGCTTCACACACGCATGCGCACAAAGGACAAAGCTGTCCCAGAGCCTCAGGCAGAGGTGCCTCCGGGCAGGCTCCATTGGCGTGTCCAGTGGATTCACCAATAGGCTCTATGGGTGGAGCATGTCCCTGCCCAGCACGGGCTCCTGAGCACTCGTTCATCTGGCAAAACCACTTTTGAGTGGACCTTTCTTTGAATGACTCCAAAATCAGATCAGATGGGCATTTATCATTGGCTACTGCCACATTCTTAACGAGCATAATGGGGAGAAATATCAAGATTCCTAAACAGAAAATACATGTTTTGCTGCATTCTTCTCATAGCATGGGAGATAAACTCAAGTTTCCAAAAGTCAGACATAACATAGCAATAAAAATATACTGGATGGAATGTGAGCCACACTCAGCCACAATGTGTTCAAATGCAGCTGTCTGGCAGGGCAGAGCCTGGGTCAACCCCACCTCGGTGGAATTATGCTTTTGGTCAACATGGAGGAACAGAAATCAGATTTATTCTCACCTAAAACAACAAAGAACAGACAACACATATGAAACAACCGTTTACAAGACACTGTACACCAAGCAGCAAAGCAGGGTGATCCCTGAGAGATGAGAACAGGTGAGGTGAGGCCTCCCGTCGCCCCAGCTCACTGCCTGGAGAATGTTTCCCGGCCATGCAACAAGGAAGAGGAGCCTGGTGGAGACCAAGGTGGCCAAAGTTCATAGGACAGAGCTCTGGAGTGGAGAGAGTTGCACACAGGGAACCCGGAGATCCACAGAGGGGCTGCTTTGAGGACTGTTCAGAGTGTGTGTGTGAGGAAACGACATGAGGCTGGAGAAAGAACCACCTGAGAGGACCAGAGGGAGCACTACCCAACTCCTGCACGGGGCAGGGAAGATGCCTATTCCCACCAGCCAGCATGAAAAACCCTCAGGCATTAGATCGAATACTTGGGAGGGTCTTCCTTCAGTAGTGGGGATAATTAGTCCTGCAGTGATCACTGCTCTAGTCCCACCTAATAAATACTAACAAATCTAAACAGGAAGACCAAACTGTTTACAACTTAACTGCAACTGAACAAAGTTCAAAAATACTCGTAGAAATACAAAAGTATCCAGCACCCAGCAAGGGTTCTGGATAAAAATTCACAATGTCTGGCATCCAGTAAAAAATTACCAGGCACACAAAAGGACTATGTCACCCATAATGAGGAGGAAAAACTCAGTCAATTGAAACTGGCCGGTAACTGACACAGCTGTTGGAATTAGCAGAAAGGCTCATTAAAACAGCCATTATGCTCATATTCCATTGTGTTTAAAAGTTAAGTACAAACATGGAAGATGTAAAAAGACCCACACCTGAGGGCTGGTTGACTAACGCAACTGCTTACAGCACAGCCTCATAACACCAAGGTCATGGGTTTGGATCCCTAAACCCGCCAGAGCCAAAAAAGAAAGAAAGAAAGAAAAACTATACATAAATGCATAAATGTTAATTAAAACAAAACAAAACAAAAAAACCTTGAGAAAAGACCCACATCAAATTTCTAGAGATGAAAATTACAAAGTGTCAGATCAAAAGCACACTGGCAGGGATTAATGGCAGGATAGACATTGTGGAAGAAAAATTAATGAATTTGAAGAGACAGCAATAGAAATTATCCAAAATGAGAGAGAGAGAGAGAAGGAATTAGTAAGATTAGGAAAACTTCAAGAAGCATAATACATGCGTAATTAAAGTCCCCAAAAGGGATGGGCAGGACAAATATTTGAGGAAATAATGGCCAGAGTTTTTCCAGATTTGATGGAAACTATAAATCCACAGATCTAAGAAGCTCCATGAACGCAAAGCACAAGAAATCTTTGTAGTTAAAAATTTTGCCACATGGAAAACTCCAGGTTCAGAAATCTTCATTCATGAATTCTACCAAATATTTAACAAAGAGATGATACTAATTCTACTCAGTCCTTTTCAGAACAACTGGGGGAAAAAAGGGAGTACAACATGGATAAATCTAGAAATATGCCAAGTAAAAGGAGCCAGACAAAGGAGGAGGAGACCTACTGTGTTCTTCCGTTTATGTGGAATTCTGAACAGTGCAAACTAGTCTATAGTGCCAGGAAGCAGATGCCTGGAAGCGGGGTGCGGGTGCAGGGGCTTCTGATGATGGATGATGGTTCCAGGGTTTACACGTACGTCAAAGCTTATCAAACTGTACACTTTAAATATATGCAGTTATTACAGCACTATTCACAGTAGCCAAGATATGGAATCAACCTGAGTGTCCATCAACAGATGAATGAAGAAAGAAAATGTAATATATTTATACACACACACACACACATACACACACACACACACACACAATGGAATACTACTCAACCATTAAAAAAGAGCAAAACCCTGTCATTTGCAGCAACATGGATGAGCCTGGAAGACATTATGTAAAATAAAATAAATCAGGCACAGAAAGATAAATACCACATGTTCTCACTCATATGTGGGAGCTAAAATAAATAAATAAATCGAACTTTTAGAAGTAGAGATTAGAATTGTGGTTACTAGAGTCTGGACAGGGCAGGGGAGGGCAGATAGGGAGAGGCTGGTTGCCGGACACGAAATTACAGCTAGACAGGAGCAGGAAGTTCCCGTGGTGTGCAGTAGTGCTAGCATCCGTAACTAACAATAATTTATTGTATGTTCTCAAATGGGTAGAAGACAGATCAAATGTTCTCACCAGAGAGTAATGATAAAGTTTGCAAAGATGAGTATGCTGATTACCCTGACTTGATCATCACACATCGTATATATGTGTTGAAATATAACTCTGCACCCCATAAACATGTAAAAACAATGTGTCGATTAAACGATAAATAATTCCTATAAAAATAAATAAATAAATGCCTTTGATTGTATGCCAATTACACCTCACAGGGCTGTTTAAGAAAACTCCCACCTTCATCACCTTTGAGTTATGCGAACCTGGCGAGCTGCGCACGTTCCTCAGCGTCATTTTCCTTACAACAGAAGGAAGGCTGGATCATGAGCCCAGGGCCACCTGGATATCCCTGCCCGTGGAGAAGGGTGAGCTGTGCTTGTTGGGGCCCTCG